GGTTGATATCTATTCTTTTTACCTCTCCTAAGATTAAGTTCTCACATGAACCTAAATCTATATATATATATATATATATATATATATATATATATATATATATATATATATATATATATATATATATATATATATATATATATATATATATACAGGGTAAGGTTCAAGTGAGAAGAACCCTTTGGGTGAGAAATGAGAATGAATCTCAGCCATTGGATTCGACTAAGTTGCAGTAAAAGACACTTCATGATGCACTGAAATATGCAATCTAGCACGGTGGCATTTCTGTAAATACTTCTGAAAAATCCGTATTACACGTGTCTAGTGCAACATGAAGCTATTTCGGTGCAACGCCGTCAAATATTAGTGCAACATCAAACAGTTTTAGTGCAACATGTGCAAAATTTAAATATTACTGCAACATAAAGCCAATTTTAGTGCAACTTCGTAAATCAAATGGCTGAGATTCATTCTCATTTCTCACATTAGATGCATTTCTCACCTGAACCAAAATCTATATATATATATATATATATATATATATATATATATAGATAAGAGATCACATACTAACCATGCTTAAAATACTAACTTACTAACTCAATAATATGCAACACATTGAACTTCAATATGCAGTACAAATAATGTAAAGATGCACACTGTGAATTTCAATATGCATTAAAAACAATATGCAAAACTTTGAACTTTAATATGCAGTACAAATAATATGCAACACTTTGAACTTCAATATGCAGTACAAATAATGTAAAGATGCACCGTTTTTGATAGTTTGTAGGTTAGCATGGGAGGAATGGTTAGTATGTGATCTCACCCCTATATATATATATATATATATATATATATATATATATATATATATATATATAGGTAAGAGATCAAATGCAAACCATGCTTAAAATGCAAACTCGTGAAAACTCCGACAACCAGTGGTATTTTTGGCTCAAAGTTTTTGTGTATGTTCCTCATCAAGTCTAGTTCATATATACCAAATTTGAGCAAAAAATTCAATCGGGAAGGTCATCAAATGATTTTTGAAAGAAAACTGCATTTTATATGTATTTTCCGGACCAGTTTTCTTTCAAAAATCATTTGATGACCTTCCCGATTGAATGTTTTGCTCAAATTTGGTATAGATGAACTAGACTTGATGAGGAACATACACAAAAACTTTGAGCCAAAAATACCACCGGTTGTCGGAGTTTTCACGAGTTAGCATGGGAGAACTAGTTAGTATGAGATCTCACCCCTATATATATATATATATATATATATATATATATATATATATATATATATATATATATATATATATATATATGTATGTATATATATATATACGGAGTATATATACACACACACATACACATATAATATCCTATGATGTCTACCCATTCATTGCATTGAAGCATTTTCCTTTTTCAAGATACTTGGTAATAAATTCATAATATTTCTCATATACACTAGTCATCTCGAAATATAAATATAGTCAATAAGTCATTAATTTAAAATTAGAAATAAGTCAAACAACTACAATCTTGAAATTAAAAGTGCAAGTATCCAATTCGGAGTATGAGTTAATGACTTAATTGGGATATAGCCATATAGGCCCATTATTTGATTACCAAGTAAAATGTAGTTTTAGATTTTCATTTTTGTTTAGAATTTTATTAAGTAAATTTTTGGATTTTTTTTTTTAAAAGTTGATACGGGTATCCGTCAGGATACGGGTATCGGAAACTTTCAAAAAATTACAAAAAAAATGGAAACTTTTAAAAATTGCAGATACGGCCCGGGAACGTACGGTACGGGTATCCTAGAGTATCGGATACGGGAACGTATCGGATACGCCGATACGCTACCCTAGCGAAGTATCCGTGCTTCATAGGATCGAAGTTTTTAATTGAGAAAATTGTCCAAGGTAGGACTAAAACTCAACCTTTTTCTCAAAATAGGACCACATGCATGTTTTTCTCTAAATAGGACTAACCTTGCCTTTTTTACCCCTAATTCTATTTAATTAATTAATTAATCTAAATAATTGCCCCCCCTAGTTTCCTTGCACAACCAAGGCAGTCCGTCGGTGGCGTGGCAGTCCGTGGTGGCGGCAGCACTCCGGCAGCGGCCGGCGGCGGATTCCGGCGGCGGCGGCGGCAACTCCGACAATTAATTAACCCAATTAATTGCCCCCCCTAGTTCTCTTGCACAACCAAGGCAGTCCGTTGGTAGCGGGGCAGTCCGGAGGTGGTGGCAGGTTGGCGGCAGTGGAAGAGGCGGTTTCCGGCGGCGGCGGCGGCGGCGGCCGGCGGCGGCGGCCGGCGGCAGGTGGCGGCAGAATGTTGGCAAACCTCCAGAAAAAAAATCTGGAATTTTTCCGGCGGCGGTCGCCGGAGCTCCGGCGGCGGCGGCGGCAGCAGGCGGCAGGCGGCGGCGGCAGGCGGCAGGCGGCGGCGGCAGGCGGCAGGCGGCGGTCCGGCAGTCCCTGGGCAGCAGTGGTAAAGGTTGTGAGGGGTATTTTGGTCCAATCACTAATAAAAAGTCTTATTTAAGGATGTTTAAACTAGGTACTCCTATTTTGGGAAAAAAGCCATGTTTTGATCCTATTAAGGTAAATCTCCCTTTTTAATTAGCATGTAAAACTGTAAATAAAAGTGCAACAATATTCTTTTTATATACGGAGTACGAAATACACTTGTGTTGGTAAAAAGAATTTGGTCCGTACATAAATTTATTCTAGGTAAACTTTTACATGGAATATCTAAATATGATCAATCTTTTTCGGTGGGTCGGGGCTGACCTGGCCCCAGAGGCCAGAACGAATCGTTTGAAAATTTTACAAATGAATTGAAGTATATACACACCTAACACACGTACCTTAAGGGCTATATAAACGAGTGCAATTTTGTACACTCCCACTAAGGAGGGTGAACATAACCCTCTCTATATCTATGGTTGTCATGTCATTGTAAAGTATTGTCTTGCCACATGACATGCAAATAGGGGTGGGGTGAACAAAATTGTTCTCTATATAAACTATCAACCACCATTTTCATACGGTTAAAATGATAAGGGCTTATAACAGCTTTTCTAATACGAGTATAGCATATAACCCCTAACATACATTTTATAATACGTTGATTTTAATTTTAATAAATGGAAATATCTGTAACCCCGATCAAATTGTATGTGCACAGATTATTCATATTTATCTTTGATCAGCTTTTTCACTTGGTCACAAAGTATGAGAAGCATTTGAGTTTGACGTGAATATTAGGAAAATAAAAGATAAAATGTGAGTTTTAGAATTGTAATCCCAAAAAAGAAGAAGAAAATTGTATGATCCACAACAAGTAAAAACGATGAAAGATAAATATAAGATCGATGATGATAAAATAAGAAGAAAAAAGTGGAATTCAAATTTGGGTAGTTTTTATAGAAACTAATGGAATTCAAAAATAAAAGAGAGAGTGCATTTTCCCAAATAGGAAATATAAAGCATATTTTCTGCTTAATATGTTCAGTACTCCGTGTTACATAAAAATCAACATACTAGTTTATTTTGACATTATTCCTAAGGTTGTGACATTTTTTTTACTCATGGGAAAAAAATTCCTAAAAACAAAAATTGAATAAAATAAATTGAATACACTAGTTAAGTCATTTAAGACGCCATGACTTTCCATTAATTAGCCAAGTCAATTGGACAACTGAAAACAGTCGTAGCGAATTGTCAGTATCCAACATGTACAAATGTTGTGTTACTTGACAAAGCATATAAATGTGCAACAAAGATAAACTAGCTGGGTCATTATGAGATCCTTGGACTATTCCATTTGGACTATTCTTCACATTTCAGACACTTACTTAGAAAAGAAAAAAAAAGTACTTTTGAGTAATCAGGATATGTACTTTTGAGTCCTTTTTATTTAGTCGTTTTTTACCATTCTACTCCAACATGACTACCTATTATTTTAATTAATATATTTATGTGAAACTTAAAAAAAATCTATGTTTATGATAATTTTTTTAACAAAGAATATTTTCACATCATTTTCATATAATAATCGGTTAAAGTTTAACATCAATTACTTGGAAAGTCAAAATCTGAAGTACGCATCCTTACCCCTATATGGTTGTACTAAAGCGCTGAGAGATTGTTTCCATATGACTCATGATGAAAATTGTGACGGAAATTGCGTGAACTGCTTCTTCATAAATTTTTTTATCATACTTTTTCATAATTAAGAAGTTAAGCACAGACACTTTAGTGAGTCACCTTAGACCAATGAAATAAATATTAACATACGCAGATCTTGGAATAATATCATATGAAATTAACTGACCTCAATTTTATAGTCAATTAAGTTCGAGTGAGCCATCAATCCATTTAAGATTCAACAATTGTATACAGATTTCAAGATTTGATTTGCTTTAATGAGCAACCGTCTTGCGTGATACATCAAGTCAATCTCACACCAGTCACATAAAAGATACTCCCTCCATCCCTAATAAAACTTCCACAATACATATGACACATAAATTAAGACATTGGATATTGTGTGGTGGAGAGTTGTGCAGAATTGAGTTGCACGAAAAAGGAAATTTATAAGTTTTTTTCATGGACGGAGAGAGTACAAATCAACACATAAAATTCAAGAATGAGTACTCAAATTTCAAGACTAGTTCGCTCTAATGAGCAATTACTGTACAAGGCGTGTTACATTATCCACACCATCCACATACATATGAACTACGGAGTAGCATATAAGGTCTTGGAATACTACTCTATGACCTTTGATTTTAGAGTTGAACTTATCAAATTCAACTATTAATAGGTGTTACTTAGACAATGTATTTACAACTCTATTTTTCCCTTTCCTTCTTAAAAAAATTGTGTATCCATATGTTGATAAATTTATACGTAGTAATTGTAATAGTATAAGAAGAAAAGGTTTCAAATATATAATTTTGTATGCATGCAGGGATCCTCAACTAGTGAAGAGAATTGGTGCTGCGACTGCTCTTGAGACTAGGGCCACTGGCATAAATTATGCCTTTGCTCCATGTATCGCGGTAATATATAACATGAAATACTATTTTCATATAATCCATTCCATAAAACATTGTCATATTAACTGTTCTTGGTCAATGACAATCTAGTTTGACCAGTGATTTTTTCATATGAAATTATTTCAAAGTACTTTCATAAAAATTTACAAAAATTATGAGTTTCACACAAATATGATTAATAAAGTAAAATTGATTAAGTTTTTAGGACGGAGGGAGTAATAGATACGACAATCACTTATAATTTTATCTACACTGACAAAGTACATAGTTAGTCCAGTTTAATTGAAATGGTTATTTCACCCATCTAATTCAATAATTGCGAAAAATGCTTATTTTATCTAGTAAGTAGCAACCCATATGTATGTGTCCACTATTATTTCTCCAAAATTAACTGGATCATGTCTTATTCGATAGTATAACAAATAAATGTGCCCAAATTCAGATTTTCCTTGCTAGATGAAAAAATCTATGTAGGTTGCAGCTTTTTGGTAGGCATTTCTTTGGGAAATGGTCTATTCGAGTGTACAACTCAATATTGACACAGGAATTAGTTACGTTACAAAAGACGTTATCTGCAATCACACTAAAAATATTGAGCACACACATATTTTCAGAAGATTCAATTTGCACATCGCATGGAATTGCTAGACTAAATCAATATCCTTAATATGTTTCAATTTAAATGCAAAAAGGTGTGTAGAGATCCAAGATGGGGAAGGTGTTACGAGAGCTACAGTGAAGATCCGAAAGTCGTGAAAGAAATGACTGAAGTTATATTGGGCTTACAAGGGGACATTCCCGAGGGTTACCCGAAAGGCTACCCTTATGTTGGTGGCAAGTACGTTCATTGAGTAAAAGAAATTGTTCTAAATAGTAGTTAAAACAAGGTGGTATCGTATATATTAGCACACAGTGTTTCCCTAAACACGATTAAGTACTACCATACTAGAAAGTAGTGCCATAATAATGCCATTAGTATTTCACAATGATAATACTTTACTTGAATAGTTGAATAACAATACAAATAAATTGTATTTATGTAATGTATGAACTAAGAGCATAAGATGGTGATGGATTTGATATAGGAACAAAGTGGCGGCTAGTGCAAAGCATTTTGTGGGAGATGGCGGGACATTGTTCGGGAAAGACGAAAGCAACACAGTGATAGACTGGGAGGGGCTGTTAAGCATTCATATGCCTGCTTACTATCCTTCCATCCTCAAAGGCGTCTCCACCATCATGGTTTCCTACTCTAGCTGGAATGGCCAGAAGATGCATTCTAATCGCGCTCTCATTACAAATTTCCTTAAAGGAACTCTCAATTTCAAGGTATATATTCATCTAAAAGTTTGATTATGACATACTTTATGTATAAGTAGTGGTTTACAAGCTTAATCTTTATTAATATAATTATTGTCCCAATGTTCAAATGGTTTTGTTTGCATAGCTATATAGTAACTTTGGGTTCTTGGATTTTGAGCCTAATGCATTATATTCATTGCCATGTTTCTCTGGAAGTGGTTCTCATTTAAATTAAAATGTAAACAAAACAGTCTCACCTTTTTACGCTGTTTTTGTTTCATCATATTTTTTCATCTGTTTTACTTCATTTCACTCCGTATTCAGTAATTTTTGTTTGGTTCACATTTGTTAGTATTTTACAAGCTCAATATCAACTACATTGTTTCATTTTTAATGTGTGCCACTATTGATAGTGAGATAATGATATTTTCTGGTATATATGTTATATGTATATACCGCTAATTTAAGATCATACGGAGTATATAATAACTTCCGTCTAATGATCATATGTATTTGTTAATTTGCTTTTGTAGGGTTTTGTGATTTCAGATTCCGAAGGGATAGATAGAATTACAGTTCCACCGCATTCAAACTATACTTACTCAGTTTTAGCTGGTGTTCAAGCTGGTTTAGACATGGTAACCAATTACTTATTTTTTCTAGAATAATCATTTAGTAAATAAATCTATACATAATACATAGTTTAGACTTTAGAGCCGATTTGAAGTTGTAATAAATACTTGGTATAATGAGGCAGAATTGTCAAAAAGTGCATAAAATTATTTAGAAATTAGAAGTAAGAGGGGATCTTGTGTTAGAGTAAAAGTAAGATTTGCTTCAATGATTTTTTCCCGAGTTTTTGCCACGTTTAGTCCTCCGACTATTATGTCATTGACACTTTTGGTACTCGACTTTGATTTTTTTCATTTCTAGTCCTCAACTATTGCGCCATAGACACTTTTGGTACCTGTCTTTAAAAGTTTCCACATTTAGTCCTTAAACTTTCGTAGAACGTAGAAGTGACACTTTTGGTCCTTCAAGTATTATAATAGTGGCATTTTAGTCCTCCACTAATTGTGTCAAAATCATAATGAGATGACTAAAAGTGTCAATTTGATAATACTCAGGGGACTAAATGTGGGAATCCTTGAAGTCGAGGACTAAAAGTATCTCTAGTACAATAGTCAAGGACTAAAAATGGAAAAATTAGATGTCGAGTACCAAAAGTGTCACTGACATAATAGTCGACGGACCAAAAGTGGCAAAAACTCATTTTTTCTGATCTGTCAACGGATAAATATGATCAACATTTTCAAATATTAACCACTTGTGATTAGGAGGCTAAAACATACGAGGGGAAACTCTTTAAGTGTAATTTGACTCTGGATATGAGCTGATATAAGATATATGGTCCCAATATCAAATTAATGAAGATTGAAGACGGTTCAATTATTGATGGAATGAACTAATCCTTTTATTTTGCAGATTATGGTCCCATACAATTATTCTGAATTCATAGACACCCTAACCTACTTGGTGAAGAACAAATTCATCCCGATGGACCGGATTGATGACGCCGTAACCAGGATATTGCGTGTTAAATTTATAATGGGCTTATTTGAGAATCCGTGGGCTGATCTTAGCATATCTAATCACCTAGGAAGTCAGGTTGATCTCAAATCCCTAAGCTTAATTTATTCCAACTCACACAACTCCAACATTAGTTAATATACTTAAATATATCATCATTTCATTTACTAGAATCATAGAGGGTTGGCAAGAGAAGCAGTGAGGAAATCACTTGTTTTGTTGAAGAATGGTGGTGGTGGTGATGGTGAGCCTTTACTGCCTCTCCCAAAGAAGGCAACAAGAATCTTAGTGGCTGGAACTCATGCTGACAATATAGGCTACCAATGTGGTGGATGGACTATCACTTGGCAAGGCCTTGGTGGCAACATCACTGATGGTAGTCAAACTAACCCTTTCACAGCTTTTAAATCTAATCTAATTAAGAGAAAGATAATCTTCATTTCATCATGTTAAAATCACCTTATCCCCAATAATCTTTTGCTCTTGACATGCTAATTAAAAGGATCATGCAGAAACACTTTAATGTGTTCACATCATAGAATCTAAAATCATATTCATAGAATTTATTCATGTAATTGTGTGTTATATGAAATACCTGACTTTTTCCTACATCTTTTAGTATGATGACATTCATTTTCTATATAAAAAAACTTGTAACTTAGTATGATTCTCAAAGTAAGTGAACACTATAAACTCGTTAAACCAGATGCATTCATTTAATTTGTTGTTTGTGCAGGGACCACCATATTGCAAGCGATCTCAAGTACCGTCGATCCAACCACAGAAGTAGTGTACAACAAAAATCCTGATACCGAATTCATGAGATCCAATGAGTTCTCCTACGCCATTGTGGTTGTGGGGGAATATCCCTATGCTGAATATGAAGGGGACAGCATGAACTTGACCATACCTGAACCAGGTCCTGCCACCATAACAACCGTATGTGGAAGCATCAAGTGCGTGGTGGTGCTCATCTCTGGCCGACCGCTAGTGGTGGAACCCTATCTCCCGAAGATTGATGCTTTGGTGGCTGCATGGCTCCCCGGAAGCGAAGGGCAAGGAGTGAGTGATGTCTTGTTTGGGGACTACAAGTTTAGCGGGAAGCTACCCAGGACCTGGTTCAAGAGGGTTGATCAACTCCCAATGAACATTGGTGATTCACATTATGATCCACTGTTTCCGTTTGGCTTTGGACTTACTACAAAACAGCCCATTGCAGATTCATAAGCCCATGATATTAAGTCCAGTTATATACATGAAGGAATTCATACAAAGTTTATCTAGCTTAGATATGAAAAAAATTGTTTCGTGGATCAGATCGATATTTTTTTCGAGATGTTCCGAATATAGTGGAGGAATGAATAAAGGGTTAGCATTACAGCTAGCTTACCAAATCAGATGTATATAATTTAATAGGACTGAAAAACATAATCAATCAAGGAAAATTATTATGGGATACTATTGCCGTGAGAACTATCTATTATTTAGTAGAAAATACGAGCACAAAACCATTCAGAATAAAAGGGTTGAATTTGATGGGGAAAAAGGATGACACCCTATCCCTAATGCCTCCCAACATTGCCGGACAGTTAATTGAGAAGATGTAAATTGGACTTTAATCACAAACTAGTGAGTGGGGCTCTGGCTCAAGTATTTGCAGAGACTCTGCATTTTTTACATAGTAACCTCTCATAGAGGTTGCCCAACGGCAGGTTGACTTTGATGAATCTCAATACTCGAATAAGTTTTATTTTGCAAATAAACTAGGGTTTTTGCTAGGGGCAGCATATGGGTAGTTAGCAATTTAAGCATGCTATATGTTTAACATGTTTAGCAATTTAAGTATTATATGTGCCGTTTTAATAAACCTAAAGGAGGGTTGAAACAGCCATGTATAACCAATCTCATCGTCCACTTGGATAGTGGGATCAGATTCTGAAATAGTCAACTTATGACTTCAAGCTGGCTCCTCGTCTAACTAACTCTGAGCCATCCTTCCAAAGCCTCAGCACAGGTAAGTGCACAAAATCCATATGTAACTAGTAGAAGCCTCACTTTAATGAGCAGAAGAAGAAGAAGAAGGTAAATTGGTTTCTGATTAAATGATCATTCCTTCTGCAGAAGAGAAATTGGGTCCTTAGGTGACACCTGCAAGTTGGTGAATCTTTGTCTGTTGTAGATTACTCTGTCTTTGTTCCTGGGACATCACTCAGCTTTAGCCAGCCTGGCACATATCACTTTTCCTCCTACAATGACTGAAATCCAACATATGAAATCTTGGAATAATTTTTACCCGCCTGATAGCTATATGTGATTTATGTATTCCATCAAGATAGATAAGCAAAAGCTTCATTATTTTTTGGCTTGAGAATATGATGGAATAAAGCAAAATGGCTTACTAAACTGTTTGCGCTTCTTTGTTATGAAGCAACAATCAGTCCATGCAATTTTGGACGCGATTTTCACTATGGGTGGGAGCCTTTGTGGCACTGGGGTAAATGAAAATGATCAACAAAGATAAGATATTGTTCTTAAAACTGGCGTCCGTTTCTAACTATCTACTGAATTATTATATCATTATATGTGATTTATGTACTTCATCAAGAAAGATAGAATTTCATTTTAAGAGATGAAATTGTGTGCTTGAGATTTACTTTTCAGAAATAAAAGAAACAAATCAACAATACTGCCCACACAATTCAATCTTGAAAAAAAAAAACAAGAAGATAATTGCATGGACGGAAAAAAGTCAAAGTAGTGAGATTAAAGGAGGATGAATGTGGTAGTCTTTTTGTTCATAAAACATCTATTAATCCAAAAACCATTCCATCATTATCCCACGGTCAATAGATATAGATTGAAGTTTGTTACATTTTTTATCAGTCCATAAAAATAGGTCAAAAAATGGCCGAATTAAAATAAACTAATGTGTGTGCATGTGTGGACTGTATGTGTATAATAAAACAGGCAAGAATAAGGACTTCTTTACATGCATCATATATCACTGGCCGGATAAGGACCGTATGTGCAGTGAGGTCCTTGAGCATTTCTTCATCTTTACATGCATCATGTATCACTGTTCCAGCTCTACAGATCATTAACAAGTGTAAGGAGAGAAGGGGAGGGAAGTTTTACTTTTCCTGGTATGGTTAAAGAAGTTGGGAGGGGAGGAAAGCTTATATTTTTTATCCTTCCTCCTCTCCATTGTTTTTGCTTTTTCCTCAATCAAATGGGAGCTCACTTCTTCCCCTTGAATGAAATACAACCTTAAGCGAAAACAGAAGCTGTTGCACAGGCACCTAGATCTTCCACAATTTGAATTCATCCAAAAGCAAATCAATATGTTACAAAAGTTTAAAAAAAAAAGTAATGATATCGCAAACAAATTATGGTTTTCAGAAAAAACCAACTTAGATTTTAATATAAAGATATGAGAAAACACAAAAATGGGCATGAGAAAACATGAGAACAACTCTAGTATTGATGCAAGATCACAAAGATGTCAATGTTTCCCTTAAAAAATGTGTAACCAAATCAGATCTGCATAAATTAGCACAAAAATGATCAAGGTAAATTAACAAGAGAATTTCATGGGTCAAACTAAAGATAGTAGTGCATCTAAACATCACTCATGCAGTATTACAAAGGAAACCATTACTACAAAATGTGACTTAAACATAGCCACTTTCCCAAGTAAGACTAACATCTTTCATTCCTAAAATAATACTATCACTTCGTAAGTTCGTATCTTTTGTCACACAAGTATTAAATTAGTAATACTTGGGAAATACTCTCATAGTTTGGGAATTTTTCTATTACAAAGCCAGCTAGAAAAAGTATCCTGATAAATTGTGGGTAATGGAAGAAACTTACTTAGCAAGGCATTAAGTTGGGTCCAAACTTTTCAGACTCACTTTCGACGCTATATCTAATTCCAGAACCAAAAGCAGCCATCTTATCTGATAGATTCTGAAATGCCTCGCCCTTATTAGCCAATTCCATAAGAACCTTAATCCTCTTAAAAGCAACATTGCTAGGCTTATGCCCCATCTCCATCATTTCCAAGAAACATCTCTCTGCCTCTCTTAGCATCCCCAAATCACAAAGCAAATCAAATAAAACATCAGACACCAATGTGAACGAGCCGAAACCTTTCTCAACCATGTCATTCCATAACTGTAACGCCATATCCGTCTTCTCATGTCTCCTCATCAACCTGATCAAGAACATACAAGATTGTGTGTTTGGCAAGCACCCTGTCTCCTTCATTCTCATATACAAACTCCATGAGTGTTTCAAATCATTTTCCAAATAAAATGATCTTAAAAACAAATTATAAGTAGTTGCATTAGGATTTAAGCCTTTCTTTACCATCTCTTCCACAAGATTATGTGCCTCCCCTATCCTCTTCGCAATACAAAAGTTTCTAATTGTGGCATTATACGCAGCAACATCAGGGTAGCATCCATATTCCCTCATTTCGGTTAAGAGCTTCTTTGCTTTATCGGGTTGCCCTACAAGCCCTAGACCACCAATCAAACTAGTGTAAGTGATCACATCAGGATCAATGTCCTTATTCCTCATCTCCTTAAGAACCTCAAATGCCTTCTCAACCTCTCTCCCCTTGCAATAAACATCAACCAAACAGTTATACGAAACAATGTCTGGTTCCACATTATACTCCCTCATCTCTGAGAAAAAAACCTCAGCATCTTCAATTGATTTCCATCCTGACAAGAGTGTGTTAAAGGTCTGCAAGTCCGGCTTAAAGTCCTTCTTCAAGCTACAGTACACATTCCTTGCATCTGCCATACTCTTTTCCTGGCACAATGCTCTCAACAAAGCATTGAAAGAATGGGTATCGAATTGGGGAACAAGTCTCTTGAACTTCCAAAAGGACTCAACTGTCCGCGAAACAGAGCAAACCTTAGCTACCCTAGCTAAAACCACTTGAACAGTTCTTGAAGAGATCAAAGACTGGTCTTTTCTCTTCATTTCCTTTAGAATCTCCCACACTTCGTCAAATTTCCTGTTTCTACCCAGGATGTACAGCATAGTGTCGTATGAGAAAGCAGTGTGGAAAAACTGGCGCCTGTTTGAAGTGAACTTGAAAAACTCTAGGAGGTATAATGGGTTGGAGTGAGAGAATCTCGCCCTTTTCAGTACACTGTCAATCGTTTCATTTGAGATAGAAATTTGAGACAATTTCAGCGATTGTTTCATGTCCTCTGTGGTTCTTGATGTAGTGACGATGCGGAAGATTTTATCTACGTCGTCGTTTTGAAGAGTGGATGGATGAGTATGAAACCGGCGGCAAATTGGGATAGGAAGGAAATAGACGCTAATGGTTCTCAATAACGCAGTTGAAGAAATTGAAGTAAGCTGGAGTGAAATGGCCATACTTTTCTAGATTTTCAAAACTTAGAGTAATGAAATGAAATTCCGAGACTGCTTGAACGGCTATGGAAATTGCTAGGCGGAACCACCCTATTCTCGAATCCTCTGCCAAGCCCTACCCTGTCCGCATTTCCTTTTGAAGGTGGGAAATGTCTCCACCAGCGGCCAACAGTCTTACTTCGGAATATCCTCTCATCCCGTTTGTTTTAGCAACTCCTCCAAAGCTCTTCAGGCCAAGAGCTCCCCGGCGAAGCAACCCGTCTCATGTGGCTGGACGATAGAGTTTAGCTTCGGGTGGTTACCAAGGTCCAAAAGTGAAGTCAAATTTGGGTGTAAAATTGCACCTGTTTTGGACTTGGGTCTATCACATTCTTATTAGTCAACTTTCTAATAAGCATGTGACTCTAGATTTACACTAGATTTAAATGGTCATTTTAGTTTTTCTTTATAGATTTTTATTTTATTGGGAAATAGTTTTAAATAATACTCCCTCCGGATTAGAATATGTGCCCCAATAGGCTTTTCACGTAGTTTATAAGTTTTTTTTGACACTTTTTAAAAAAAGTAACAAATTATTGATATTGTAATAGTACTGTTTATTTTATGTACTGTAGCTGCTTTTGGGTGAACTTATTTTCTAACATGAAAGTGAGACGCTTATTTTGATATAGTCGAAAAAGAAAAGTGAGACACTTACTGTGATACGAAGAAAGTATCAACTAACACTCATAAATCAATAATAATACATACTTTGGTAATGATTTCTAATAAGAGGATCACTTTTCGGCAAGAAAATTAGTCATTTTAAATATAAAAAACTAATCAAATCATCAAATAAATCATATTTGGAAATATGTCCACTTATTTGATATTTGAAATCTGTTGTTAATGACTTAACGAGTAGATTTTTAGTGAAAAGTTGCCATGTCTCGCTTTTGTTATATATATACAGTTAAAAATTATTTCCAAAGTACATATTATTCTTGATGATTCATACGGAGTATTATTTTAAGTTATTTACCATAACTTTTTTATTGCACTGGTTTTGGTCTCACGCAATTAGGACTGGGTCCGAAAAACCGAAAACCGAAAACCGAATCAAATCATACCGAACCGTAACCAAATAAAACCGAACCGCTAACAAACCGAAACCGAATGTAAAAAACCGAACCGAACCGTAGTTGTTTGGTTCGGTTTTGATTTTTACTCTTCAAAACCGAACCGAACCGAACAAACCGAACTAATTAAAATATAAAATTTATTTGTCAATTGTTAAGCATTAATCCTAGCAAATCCTAATATCATTAATAGTCTTTGATTTTCTTGTGCTAGAGAAATAATGTTTGTGTTATGTTTAGTTTAGTTTATAAATTCATTTACACATTCATTTTCCGTAATAATGTAGCTATACGAAATGATGATAATATGTTTTTACTAGTTATTAGTATTAATTAACTTTTATTTTTATTTAACTTAAAGAATTCATATTGATGATGAAACAATAAATATTCATCTCAACTATATCACATAGAACGTATATAACTATATACTCATGAATTTTTTTGAACTAGTCACAAACAATGTAGATTAATAATATACTCCGTATCTTTTTATCTCTCTCGCATACTCATATAATTCAAGACATATTTATTTATTTTTATTTTTATTTTATTTGTTGTAGTGTGCTTGCATTCTTTATGTAATACTATGTATATGTTTGATCCCTCAAAGTATTATAACAATTTTAAATCAAATGATAATTTTTTGGCAAAAAACCGAAAAAACCGAAACCGAATCGAAATAAACCGAACCAATCAAACCGTGGTTCCAAGTTTTGAAGTGTAAAACCGAACCGAACTCTTTACTTTGATTCTATATTTGGTTTTAGGTCAGAACCGAACCGCAAGAACCGAACCCACCCCTACACGCAATCAACAAGTGATCATTTAAATTAGACCTGCACAAAAACGGGTTCGGGCCGGGCTCGGGCCGGGCTTTTTATAATTTTTTTGCCCATCATATGTGGGCGGGCCCGGCCCGGCCCGCAAAAACGGGCCTAACCCCATGTCCATACCCGCCCATAAGAGCGGGCCGGGTAGTCCACCGGGCCTCCGGGCCCGGAAAACCTTTATATTTTTCGAATTTTTTTTATTACTTTAAAACTAATATTACAACATTTAAAAAATTGTTAATATGCGTGTAATGTTTATAGGTCTTTCACCACATACAAAAATAATACTTACACAAAAACAATAATGAGAAACTATATCTAAAATTTAAAATTCAAGCACAAAGTATTATCTTTAAGTACAAAAATAGATATTATATTAGCTGGGCTAGTGGTTCAAATCTAAAAACCTAAATTTAAACATAATAAACTATAAATATGTATAAAGATAAATTATATTAGAAAATATAAATGTACATGTAAATAAATAAATTATATATATATATATATATATATATATATTAAATGTAGCGGGCCGGGCTTATCGGCCCGAACGGGCCTACACCCTAACCCAAGCCCGCCCATATGTTATTGCGGGCCGGGCCGGGCCCGGGCCGGTGGGTAAATATATATGCCCAAGCCCGCCCATTTGTGCGGGCCGGTTGGGCGGGCTGGGCGGGCCGGCCCGGTTTTGTGCAGGTCTAATTTAAATATATTGTAAATCAGACTTAAAAGGTCAAGTTTAGGTTGCGATAAATAAATAATGATATACCGGATCAAAGTAGGCTTTACAGACCGCATCAAACTAAAAAAATTAGACCAAACCTTAATCAGAAAACCAGTCCAAGTGAAAGCATCATCAACCGTACAAATAGTTACTCGTTTCCTTTTTTTTTGGAAAGAAAAGTTTTATTGATAAAAAGTAAGCATTACAAAGGGAAGGGAAATAAAAAGAAAGAAGATAAAAAACAAAACATAAATATAAAACCCTAAAACTAGACCTAAGGAAAATCTCTAGACTGAGACCTAGTCATCATGCTGTGGCGTCTTTTATTCTTCTGAGATTTCCTATCTATTGTTTTAATAGTAAAGCTGAGTTGTGAATTGCTGACATGTCAATATCTTATTGGTTCGTTAACTAAAATAATTAGCATCACTAATTAAATTCAAAATCATACGGCCGACTTAATGGAACAACATAAGATAGGACTATGTTACGGAGTATCATTAATGCTTATAATCAAAAGTGGATTTTGAATGTTGCAAAGTGCATCTAAATAGGACTCTCTCGATGATGATGACGACGACGATGATGATGACAATAATAAAAATTACTCTGTACAAAATTACAACAATAACGATAAAAAATACTTACCTCCGGCCTAATTTACTTAGCCATCTTTGATTTTTTCAATCAAAGATGATAAACTTTGATCAATTATTTTAACTAATATATTTTTTCAAAATTTAATAGTTTTATATTGTTGGATAATTGATACTCATATCGTATAAACAGGAGAAATTGAACAAGAATCAAAAGGAGTAATGGAAGTGTATAGAAAGAGTGAATATTTGTTATGGTTTACAAGCCTTACATAAGGGAGTATATATAGGGAAAATCCGGGTCTGGGCCTCTAATATGGGCCTGACAGACCCGGTTACATAAATAGACTGATAGTATAAAAAGCTAATCTAGAACATCTGAATAATAATGTACAATAATAAGAATCCTCTAAACGTGTGTGGGCCGCTGTCCAGGCCCAATAGTCGGCAGACCGGGGGGTCGGAGTCCATATACTCCATCATATGCTTTTATGATAGTATTTTAACAAAGAACAATTTCATATCATTTTCATATTATTAATATTTTCTCTATATAAACATATAATCGGTCAAAGTTAGACGCTATTGACTTGAAAAGTCAAGTTTGGCTAACTAAAATGGGACGGAGGGAGTGTTGCCTAATGCTCCCCTACATTTGACCCACCGTTGAGTGATTTAACTACCGGGTTAAAAAAAATAACAATAACAATAATAATAATGTTAATACCTCCATTCTTAATTAATAGCCGGATAGATGATAAATAGGCACTACAAGAAAAGTGAACATAGACCGCACATAGACCAATATTTTTTTTTTCGATGGCCGCATAACTGTCGTTAAAAACACTATTAACCACACATAATTTTATTTAGCACATACAAAACTGTGGTAAAAGGCCAGAGACGACAGTTTTTAACCGTGGCCAATGTTTTTACCACGGCTGTTATGGCGACGCACGTAAAACTGACTCAAAACTGTCGTAAATATTATTATTATTATTATTATTAGTAATAATTACATATAGGGATATTACCCGAAATAGGACTAAAAAGGTTTCAAAATTTCAAAATAGGACTAACATGTTTGTATTCCCAAAATAGAACTAATTACTGCCATGTTTTGGCAGTACCAGACTTCAAACATGGCAGTATTTTCTAAACTTGGCAGTAATCACTCCTATTTTGAGAATAAAAAACATGGCAGTCCTATTTTGGAATTTTCAAACTGTTTTAGTCCTATTTCGGGAACTTTCCCTAATATATATTAATGATAATAATGATGATAATAATAATAATAACAATAATGATATATAATAATGATAATAATGATATCATTCTAGAAAATAAATAGTGATACCTATTTTAAAATCAAAATTATTCTTACTATTTTACATAGTATGATAGTAATAATAATATATATTTTAAAATCAAATCAAAATTACACAAATGGAAAAAATCATGTTTACATAATTGTTCATAAAATAGATATCAGGGAGTACGTACTATACCTATCCTGTATTTGCAAAAAATTGATGATCAATATTACAAAACTTCAACAAAACCTTTTGAATTAAGACTAATATATAAAACATTTCTCAAATTTTAAAGAACAAAATGATTAATATATTTAAATAGTAAGTAAAAAATCGTAGGGATTAGTGAATTTCGTATTAAAAACTGATGTTGGATAATAAAGTAATTGAATATTTATGAGAGTGATCGACACCACCTGGGCATGCCCCGGGTGTTACACTGGTAATTAAGGTATAGTACTCATTATGCAGCTTCATTTATTTGATCATTATATCACTAAATTAAAACTATTATATATGATATATAGTTAATTAATCGAGTAGCTAACGTTGGTTGTATTGATTATATTTTGGTCAAGTTTCTTGTAATTTTTTATTTGCGTGTTCAGGTTTTGTGTAGGAAGGCAATTTTCTGAGGTAACAAACTTGGATTTGCTACAAATCGCTCTGTTGAATTTTGATTTCGTTATTTCTGTCGGAGTTGAGATAAGGGGACGACAATCGCTATCAGGGGTGATTTGAGATTTTGAGTTAC